CCCCCCCCCCCAAAAGTGACTTAATAATGTATAATACATTGTTATCTCAATAAGGTAGAAAATGGATAAATGAAAAGGGAAAACAACCCAAAATTCATTTAATAATCTGACTGCTTTTCATCTTTGAAATATTTTGCATTTTAACTCTGGCTATAAGGCACAATCTGAATAGCTGTGCCTAAACCATTGAGTCTTACTACCTGCCATCTTGAACACTCACTTAGATTCATCCCTAACACTAGTTTTTATTTATTTATTTTTAATCCTCAGCCAAAGATATTTTCACCATTGCTTTTCAGAGGGTGAGAACATTGATGTGAGAGACACACATCAATAGGCTGACTCCTGCATACACCCCGACAGGCCGGGAATCAAGCCTGCAACCAAGGTACATGCTCTTGCCTGGAATCAAACCCAGGACGCTTCAGTCCAAAGGCCAGAGCTCTAACCACTGAGCGAAACCGGCTAGGGCCCTAACATTAGTTTTAATCTTCATTCACTATTAAAACTACATACTTTCCTTATTTTCAAAAATATTGTATTCCTAGACCCTAACACTTGCTTCTTCCAATACTTAAAAAAATCTCAGCAAATGCCAGTGTAGATACTTAAGCACCCTTTTATAAAAAGCAATCTGTTCTGGCCCAGTTTAATAATAACACATAAAATAGTATTTCAAAACTAATGGCCTAGAAGATACACATTTAGTATATATTTAATGGCTGCAATATTTTCAAGCACAACTTGGGCATCAACAGTATATTCAGTGCTGTACTGGGCCCTATGAGGAACACTAAAACCACTGACGAGCAGGATGGCAACGAAAAAAAGTGGTTGATTTTTAAAAGATCATTTTAGATATGTTTTAAATAAATAAATATATATATATACACACACACATATATATCAGCAACCCTTTTCAAGGATTTCTATGACTCTCTTTCTTTTCTGTATCCATGAAGAGGTGCTAATGAAGCACAGTCAAGAAAACTGGACCTCTATTACCTGTTGTGTTCCAGAAGGAATAAAATGGAAGTTCCAAAGGTAGTAGTGGTGAGCAGAATACAATCAAGTCTAACAAAATGTTACTGCCTTAGGATTTTTGCTAAATTTCTCTAGGCAGTGAAACTTTCTTAATAATTGTCAAAAAGCTTTGAACGTTATAGTATAAAAATTTTAAAGAAATTCTGACATCGACCTCCTTTTTGTCTTAATGTGTTGCTGCCTACATTCACACTGTGATGCTGTGAAAATACCATGTGTGTCTAACTCTTCTATTAGTGGCAACTCAAATCATAGGCCCCATCATGAGTGTTATCATCTCATGAAGTCAGTGCAAAAATAATAGTTGCCTGTAGAGTCAGAAAAACGTCAGTCTGTACAAAAATAAAAATCAAATCTTTATTTTTTAAAAATTTTATATTTTTCCAAGTTTTTGTTACCTCTTCTTTTAGTGCATGTTTCCTCTGTTCCAAACAGATCTCTTTAGCTCTCATCATCTGCAGAGTCTCCTTAGAAACTGCATACTGGAGTTTTTCCATCCGTTCAGCAGCTGCTGCCCAAGATGCTTTACCAAATTTCTTCTGATCAGCTCTCATTCGATCGTACACAGCTATTAATAATAATTTTTAAAAAGACATTAAGACATAAAACTTGATACTAAAGAATTTGAAAGGCTTAACTTTCACTAACCACATACTCAAAAGATAAACACACAAATCCTACCCCGATGATAAATTACTTATAACGGCTCTAAAATATAATACAACAGTATCTTAGATTCTAATGTAGGAGGTAATGTTTTCAATTCATAATCTCACTCTGAATCTCAATTTTTGGGTTTCTACTCATGTTGTTTGAATATCAAATGATTCTGCCATTTTAAATTTCTGCCCATCTTTTTAAATTGTATTAGAATATTTATGCAACCATAAGATCAATATAGCAGTGTGCTGTAGGAAAAAAATATCAGGAGGTTTGGCATTAGACAGCTTTGAGTTAAATTCCCAATTCTACTTACCCATAATTGACGTAACTTTTGGCAAGAAATTTAACTGTTCTTGGGCTCAGTTCCCTAGAGTGAAAAAAGTAAGGAGATCTAGGACCTAGTCAGAAGGCTTTTATGATAATTAATGAGAATGATAGGTATTCGAATGTCTCTCCCACTTCACAGAGCAACATTAATCGAATATATGGTCTGTTTTGTTTTCCTCTCATGTAAAAACTACCACAGTTGTTCACATTTATATGAGGTTATATTATTTTCAAAGTACTTTTTCCATGTTATCTCTATTTATCTGCCCAGAAATCCTATAGAATAGGTAACATGTGCATTATCAACACCTTCTATATATGCATAACTGAGGAGTTTCAGTAACTCAACAGCAAGGTGACACACCTACAGTCATAAAGTTAAAACTAGTACCCAAGTTGCTTAAGCCGCTAGTCTACTACCTCTACCATTTTTACCTGAACTTGTAACCACAGATATAGTCAAACATTCTACATATTCACAAATAGGATTGTCTCTTGCTCCCCACTTCAGGACCATGTCTGGGGAGTAGCTCCCAGTCCTAATTCAGCCTCAGGTGGTTACCTACCACAAGACCTAGTCAATATTTTGTCTTCCAACATCTTTAGATGGAACATATTCTTATATCTAATTGCTATTCATTTTACCTGTAATTAATTCCCAACAGCTCAGAAATAGGAAAGGTAATGAGAAATATTATTTGTGAATAACTGGAATACCCCTAAGAACAGTATTGAAACACCACTAAAACAGATTCTTCTCTCCTTCTGCTGGCAAAAATAAGACTCTTGATAAGATAACCATTTACATTATCAGGGTAACAATCCTGTAATAATACTCTATGATGACCATTATATGTAAAAAAAGCTCTGAAGGTGTTTATAAGGTTTCATGTTGAATCTATTTTTAAAAAACCTTAGTGCTCTGAACACATGTATACTTGTCAGAAACAAGCCCATTTAAGATGTTTTTAAAAGCTAAGTGGTAATATATCAGAACTGGGTTGCACCTGGCTTTGCATAAGGACATCTTACTCCTTCTAAAAAGAGGTTACCTCTGGAATTCACTTTCTGATTGCAGACATTAAGGAGAGCTATTACTCTCAACAGCATAAAGCCACACAGAAATCTTCATTCTGTTTCTCTTACGTGGGAGGAGGAAAACGTGCTCAGAAAAGAAAAGATCAAGCAAACCAAATCTCTCTCCTGGCTGGGCTCAAAGGCTTCCTGCTGGGATAAAGTCACCAGAACTTTAAAGATACAAAGAAGCCTACAGCGACTTTGATGAAGCATATGAAACCCTGGAATGATGCTCATCACCTACAAAAATGTTCTGCATAAAATTGGAGAAGCAAATTATAAAATAAGAGCAATAATCAAAATTGTATAAAACCAGAACCAATAACCTATGAACTAAACATGAGAAAACATACAGAATCATTGCAATTATGTAATAAGCCAAAAAATATTAACAGATGCAAAGTGGTGACAAAAAGCTTTTAGGATTACAGATGTAGAGTTTCTTTTCCCTCTAATATTCTATATTTTCTGTAACGGTTACATTTTTTTTAAAAATCTCAATGCAAAGACCTTTTTTGATAACAGAGAAGTGTGCATCTAGAAGGCAGTCTAAACCAAGCACATAGTTTTCATAAAAATAGTTTACTAGTAAGGAAAGACATCTTTAAACATTCAAAGGAACTATTATTTATATAATGTATTGTGTGTTCTTCTTTTACTTTTTATTTTTAAAACTACCATTCTGTTCTAGGGAGAATACCCAGAGGTGGGAATGCTGGGTCATATGGTATCTTTAATTTCATAAGAAACTGCAAAATAATTTTCCAGAGAGACTGTACAATTCTGAATTCTTACCAGCAATACAGGAAGGGCTCCTATTACGCTGTATCCTGCCTGCACTTGGTATCCTTAGTATTCAAAAAAAAAATTTTTTTAATTTATTGATTTGAGAGAGAGGGAGGGAAGTGGGGGGAGGGAGAGAGAGAGAAACATCGATTTGTTGTTCCACTTATTTATGCATTCATTGGTTGATTCTTATACGTGCCCTGACCAGGGATGGGAACAGGAACCTTGGTGGCGGGAAGGGGGGTGGTGGTGGAGATGATGACACTCTAACCAACTAAGCTACCAGCCAGGGTTTGGTTAGTATTCTTTATTTTAGTAAGTCTCATCAGCATGCATTAGTATCTCACTGTGGTTTTAATTTGCATTACCCTAAGGACAAATGATGTTGAACGTCTTTTCAAGTGCTTATATTTGCCATCTTTATTCTCTGGCGAACTGTCCAAGTCCCTTTCCCATTTATTAACTGGATTGTTTATTTTCTTATCCCATCTATTCATTGAATTGTTTATTGAGTTTTAAGAGTATTTTATGTATTCTGGATACAAGTTCTTTGTTAGATGTGTTATTTGCAAATATTTTCTCTTAAATACTCTCTTGCCTTGTCATTCTCTTAATAGTACCTGGTAGAGTAGTTTTTAACTTTGATGAAATTCATTTTATCAAATTTTTTCATGGTTCATATTCATCATTACTTATATCTGTTACAGTTTTTATTTGTAGTGTCATTGCTAATAACACTCTGGGTAACTCTAGGTTACAAAATTTTTCTCTTCTGTTTTCTTCTGGATGTTTTGCATTTAGATCCATTCTGAGTTTATCTTTGTATAAGGTATGAGGCTTAGGTCTAGGTTCATTTTTCTGCATATGAATGGCCAATTGTTCCAATACCATTTGTTGTTTTCCATTGATTTGCTTTAACAAAGAGTAAATGACCAAGTACTATGAGTTTATTTCTGTATTCTCTATTTTCTTCCATTATCCCTTTCACAATACCATGCCACAGCTCTACAGTAATTTGTAAAGTCAGGTAGTGTGATTCTTCCAATGTGTTTTGTGCCCCACCCCAAAAAAACTGTTTTAAGCTATTTCAGCTCCTTTGTCCCTCCATATAAATTAGAACCAGCCTGCTTAAATCTACAACAACAACAAAACCCTCTGCTGGTATTTTGATAGGCATGTGTTATATCTATAGATCACTTTGGGATGAACTGATATAATTACTATGTTGAGTAGTCCTATCCAAGAACACAGTTATGTCTACAACACTTACCTAGGTCTATAATTTCTTTCATCAGTGTTTTGTAATTTGTCAGCATACAAATCCTGTACATTTTGTTAGATTTATACCTAAATATTTTGTTTTAGAAGGGGTTATTATAAATGTTACTGTTTTTACAATTTGGATTTCCCATTGTTCATTGCTTGTATAGATAAATATAATTCACTTCTGTGGTTGACCTTATTTCCTGTGACCTTGAGAAAGTGACTTGTTAGTTCCAACAGTTTTTAAAAAACAGATTACATACAATTTCCTACATAAACAATGTTATCATCTGTGAATGGGGAAAATTTTATTTCTTCCTTTCCAAACTATATGCCTTTTATTTCTTTTTCTTGCCTTATTACAACTAGCTAAGATTTACTATATTGGGTTGAATAGCAGTGGTGAGCGTGCCTTTTTACCTATTTTAGGGGGAAACATGCAATCTTTCACCATTAACTGAGATACTGGCTTTAGGGTTTTTGTAGATGCCCTTTATTAAGTTAGAGAAATTCCTTTCTATTCCTAGTTTGCTAAGCGTTTTTAGCATGTATGATGTTATATTTTGCTGAATGCTTTTTCAACATCTGATGTATCGATCATGCTTTTTTTTAAGACTAGGATTTCTCAACCTCAGCACTTTTGACATTATAAGCCAGAAAATTATCTGCCATTAGGTGGGCTGTCCTGTTCCACATAGAATGTTTAACACAATCTCTGACCTCTACCTGCTAGATGCTAGTATTACCCTATGTAGTTGTGACAACCAAAAATGTCTCTGGACACTGCTAAGTGTCCTTTTGTGTGGCAAAATCACCCCATTAAAAACCACTGCTTTACACCTTCAACATGGTAGATCACATTGATTGATGTGCATACTAAATCAGGAAGGATAAGCCCCGTTTGGCCATGATTGTTAATTTTTAAAAGTATTTTTTTTAGTATTTTAGAATTTGCCAATATTTTGTTGAGGACTTTTGCATCTATCTATGCAGGATGCTGGTCTGTTTTTCTTCTTCTTTTTGTGTAGTTTTGGGTTTAGGGTATTGTTAGTCCCATTTAATATAAATTGGACATGTTCCTCTTCTATTTTCTGGAAGAGATTGGGTAGAGTTGCATTACTATTCAAATGCTTGGTAAAATTTGCCAGTGAAACCATTTGGGCCCAGAGAATTCTTTTTTGAAAGGTTTTAAACTACAAATCTAATATCTTTAATAGTTATAAAAATATTCAGGTTATTTATTATCTTGTATGAACTGTGGTAGATTGTGATTTCCAGGGAATGGTTCCATTTCGCCTGTTAAATTTGTATGCGAAGAGTTGTTTGTAGTAGTTCCCGTATCATCCTTTTGATGCCTGCAAGTTCTATATTAATATTTCATCTTAATATAATATATTTTTAAATGCAAAGTATTTTCATGTGTATTTGAAATATGCATGAAATAGGAGATGAAGAATGGTAGAGTAATAGAGTGTATGTGATTTTCAAAATTCCTTAATCATATTATACTATTTTCCCAAAAACACTGAGGATGGGGAGAGACAAGTAATATGGTTTACTCAAACCTTTGCCACCTGCTTAGGCAAATATCCATATTTCAGGACCAGGAAAGATGAGACACAATAACGTTGGTAACTGAAACTATGAGTTTAAAAAGTAGCAATAAGCATCAACCTTAGATACCTTTGACAGCATCTATGCACAAAATCACTCACATCAACATTAAAACAAAAAAGTATTGCTGACTAAAATATACCTTAAGAAAATGAAAACACTTTGTAGTCAAACACTGTTAACTATAATTCTATCTATCTGAATCTAAGAAATAAACCACATTTACTTTACTCTTCAACAAGTAAAATTCACATGTATTTATCGACAGTTTTTATCATAGCTATCAAACTGCACTTTGTATAGAAATGAAACATCTGAGTAAAGGAACAAATTCTATACCATGTTAATCACCAAAAGAGCATCAAAGATTTGAAGATTAAGAAATAAAGCTCAAAACCTATTAAAAGGAATAATGTCCTTTCATAATAACAAAAATAGAACAGAAAACACCCAGAAGGGAACTGAACAAGAAATGTGTAGAACCCAGATAAAAAAATAAACCCCAAAAGCCCTACAAAACTTTCCTGAAAAACACAGACATGAATAAATAGCAAGACATACCAACCACACAAACTTTCTCCTAATTATTGTATAACACTTGTTTATTTCATAAACAAAGCATTTACTCTTCCCCATGAAGAGTAAAACCCTCTTTTAAATTATAAAACATTGTAGTTTTGATCAGAATTACATTCATTTGCAAAGAAATAATTCCCATTTTTAAAAAAAGGGTTATAATACTATTTTAGTGAAGAGTAATTTGGTATAGCCAAGATAGTCTAAAAAATGATGATGAGGGGTTAACTGATAAACCAGGCAATACATTTCGTTATAAAGTTAGTTACAGCATAAGAACAGACAATGTATTATCAATGGAAAAGAGACTCTAGAAAGAAATTCAAGTACAGTATATAAAAGGATTTTTAGTAGACCTTAACTATTTGGAGGAACATAGAAACTTATTCTAGAAAATACAACAAATTAAGTAACATAATTTAAAGATTTAAAAAGAAATCATTCTTAAAAGATGATGATTTTTACAAATACCATTTTTGTGTAACAAAAAAAGTTAAAAGAAAAATTAGGAATAGATATTTGCAACACATTTCAAAATATTAATATATAACTATAATATAAACATAATAAAAATATCAATGGATATAATATAAGGAGCTCTTGCAGATCAATACAAAAAATACCATAGAAAAACAGGCAAAAAATGTTAACTGGAAAAAAAAGAATATGCAAATACCAATTATTACAGGAAAACAAAAAAAGATCAACACTTGATAACCAAAGAAATGCAAAATTAAAAAACATGATACTATTTGTCACCTACCAAATTGTTGGTTTTAGTTTTTCATGACAATGCCAAACAATGCTAAAGAATCAAGGAAAGTACTCCCAGCACTGGCATTCTGAAGGAAACACTGCTTTAAATGAAACTCAAGGAAATATGGGTTTGCCTAAGGAATAACCTGAATGCTAACCTATTTTAACGCCAGGTAATGAGATGGACAGATATTAATATAATGAATAGCTGTGACTTTGAATTGCACGTTAAGGAGCCACTGAAGGATTTCTATGGCCACCTATGGGAGTTGAAAGAAATGAACCTTCACAGACCCTGCCCTATGTGTCACTTCATTTGGCTCGTCCAGATATGTATCCCTTATAAACTCTACATATGTGCTTTCCTGAGTTCTGTGAATCATTGTAGTCAATTACGAACCTAAAAAAAGCTGGGGAAACCCCCAAATTTGTAGCCAGTTGGTTAGAAGTACAGATGGCCTAAGGGCCGCCCTCCCCAAATTAGTGAGTAGTGTCTGAGATGAGGATAGTCTTGTTGAAGGCTGTGCCTTTAAACTGTGGGGTCTGTAACTGTGAATGATTAGTGTCAGAACTGAATTATACTATACCCATATCCCATTACTACTTTTTTTTTTTTTACAGTTGGGGTATATGTAAACACATATGCCTAGAAAAGATGAAAGGATATAACTTTGTTAATAGTGATCTTCCTTAACTGTTAGGATTATGAGTGGTCTTTATATACTTTTCAATACAGTTACTGTGAACATAAAATATTTAAACCACTCATTTTCAAAAATAAATAAGGGTAGTTTACTGGGAAACTCACCTTTTTGAGCTTTAGCTGTTATTTCAAAATATTTGACAGTAAGATCCTGAATAGAGAGCACAGCCATGTGAGCTTTCCGCTGCCAATCAGCATCTTCTTTTTGTAGACTTTCGATTCTTCGGGGACCCAGATAATCATTCTCCATGGAAATCTTCAGAGAGAGAAAAAGAAAACTTAAGAAGTTCTTTTCTTTCGTTCTTTTATTCATTTCTAAAACATTTATGAATGTTTACATATCAGGCATTGTGCTTGGTGCTAAAACAAAGAACATCTGTTTTTCCCTGCTCTAGAGTACTAGCTATTAGTTCATAACACAAGGGCATTAATAGTAATGCTGAAGATACTGACACAAAAACCTGTCCCCCTTCCTCCTTCTCTATCTTCTTCCTCATTCTTTCTCCCTCCACTTATAAATAAAAGGCATATAGCAAAATGTTGTAACTGGTTATTTTGCGGTGCTGCGATGATGAGAAATTCATTGCCTCCTTTGTGATAACTATATTTTCAGATTAAAAATAATTTGTGCCAATAAAACACTTATTTAATAACCGATAAGTAAAATAAAAACTCAGATTTTAAAACTGATATTATATAAAAACCAACACATTCACCTACTGAAGGGCTCTGGATAAAAAATAACAGAAAATTTAGCTTTGGATTATTTGTAAGAGTCATGACTAAAACAAAAGCACCAAGGAAAGTTGAAAATCAAATGATGGACAGGGACATACCAGGTGAATGCTAAAATAAAATTCACTGAAGTGACAATATTAATATAAAAGTATATAAAATCACTACACAGGTATGTTTAACATGGAAGAAGAGTGCAACCCAGCAAGAACAGCACACTCTTCTGTTTTATCATACATTGAGAAAAGACTGTTAAAAATAAAATGAGAAGTTAATACCATACTAGGAATGTGAAAAGAAAACATACAGAAAAATATTAATACACTCCTGGCACACTTTTTAAAAAGTTATCAAGTGTTATAATAAGCCACTAAAAAAATTGTAATGAGTTTCAAAAGTAGAAATCATACAGGCCATATTCTCTAAATGGTGCAATAAATAGAAATTAAAAGTCTAAAACCAAAATGAAATTTTAATCACCTGGAAATTTAATATCCAGAGGAAGGTAACATTTACTGTTAGCAACAATAAACTTGCTCCTTAAGCAAATCAAGTCTTCCAAATAGAGAAAAATATATAAAAAGAGCACTTAGTGCCCAGCACACAATGAACAATTTATTAGCAGTGTTAAGAAGGACAATGCCAAGGCTGAAGGAGGGGTCAAGAATAACTTCAAGGTTAGGGGGGAAAAATATGTATGTGGAATTGTCACTTCCTTTTTTAAGTGGAAGAATACCTTATTTCGAAAGGGAGAAGACAGAGGATTTTCTTTTTGCTTATGTTAAGTTTGACTTTGCAAAGGTCACGGCCAGAGATATAAATCTGGGTCACCTTGACACACAGAAGACATTTAAAGCCATGAGAATAAATGAGGCCATCAAAGGAAATCATGAGAAAAAGGCTCATGACTGAGCCCTAAGTTAATTTGGCACTCAAGCTGGGTGAAAAAGTACATACAGAAACCAAGACAGAAGTAGGGGGTACACCAGGAAAAGTGTGGAATCACATAAGGAGCAAGATTCAGAGGAGGAGAAATCAACCCTGTCAAACACTATTTAGGGTTCAAGTAAGATGACAACTAGTATCCATGGTCTTAACAACATAAAGATCACTGAACTTTTAGCAACAACAATTCTGGGAAATGAGCAAACTCCCTTTGCCCATTAACTCACATCACATCATCAGATCTCAGCTAAATTACTGGCTCACTTCCATACATGTTTTTAATGAGGAGAGAAATGTGGACACATGTAAAAATAAATACTCTTTTGAGAGAGATGTATGAGTGAATTGAGAAAAAATGGTGGTGCTAAAAAAAGATAATGCTTAAGGGTAGGCTCTTTGCTTTTTGTTTTATTTTAATGGCAGATCATGGAGCAGGCTGAGTGGTGAAAAGAAGTATCCAGCAGAGGAAAAAACTAAAGATGCAGGAAAAGAGACGGGGCTAACAAGAGTAGGAAGGTCCCTGAAAGATGAGAAGGGACAGGATCAGAGTACTGGTGAAGGGATTTGCTCTTGGTAAAGGGAGAGACAATTCCTCCATGGCCCAGAGAAAGGCAGCTTTGGGGTTTGCTAAAGGAAGGGCGAGGGGAACACCTGTTTGATGCTCTGCTTTCCCCTGTGAAGAAAGAGCCCAGAGAAGAATAAGACGGTGCAGGGGAGAGGAGAAGGCAAGACACAAAATAGCTGTTTTTAGATGGCAGGGTGACAAACCATTTGGAAAAACTAATTAAGTAAATATTAAAAGTGAGACAAACCAGGGTAGTGTGGGTAATGGTGAAAAAGACCCGCACTCATATACTGCCCGTGGAAGTGTAAGTTGATTGAAACATTCTCTAGGAAGTATTTTATGATACCACACTTTTTAAAGGTATTTAAGACAATAATAGTAACCAAAGATGTTCACTGCAATGTTGTTTGAAATAAAGAGAACACGAATCCTAGATATCTAATAATAAGAGAAATTTATACATGATACACCCATAAAATCTAATTCTGTGCAAAAATAAATGTTTATGAAGTTAATAACATAGGAAAATGATTGTGCTATAAGTATTAAGTGAACACAGGTCAAAATCATAGATATAATTTCAATTACATAAAAGAATGTCCCACAAAAAAGAGACAAAATATGTAAAGTGTATTATTATTGATGTCATCTTTTGGTAGTGAATTATGGTAATATTTTTCTTCCTGTTTAAAATCTGCACTTTCCAAATCTTTTCTATTATACATATCATTTATAAGCATGAACAAGAAAAATGCTTTTATCTCTTCTTGGGTTCACAAACCATACCAACTAGACAGGCTGAAGACACATTATCCCAGAGGTTTCCTGTTTCTAGTCAAGCAAACAATGAGCTCATGTTTTCATATATGAAGCCCAGAAAGAGGCAAAATTATGAGACTTACCTCTTTTTTCCAGTGTGTCGGGAGGGAGAGGAAGTGTTGATATGATCAGAACCTAAATGTCTTCCTTATTAATTTGGAAGCAGAATTATGTAAACTCCATTTCTGGGACTAAACAGTGCCAAGCAGAGACAATTAAGCCAGTAGCAGCAGTTTGGATTCTTGATACCCAATTCCCTACTCATCTGGACTGGATTGTTTTTTAAGTCTCGGAAGATGATTACTGTATCTCCAGTTTCATACTGCAGGAGTCAAGCTTAAATGATGCTATTAGATATGGTTGATTTTTTTTTCCCCTTTTAGATTTTCCCATGGCTAATATTTGGATATCATTTCAATGATATAATTTGAATAAAGAGACTACTACTACTGTACTAGGTGCTTTAGAGGAAATATATGAGTAAGATGCATATTCTATACCCAAGAAACTTGCAATCGAATGGGGAGATAGGGAGACATATCTGTGATAAAGAAATGTCTTGAAATGAGACCTTGCTCTGCTGTGAGACCTTTGACAAATCACGTAACATCCAATTCTTCATTCGAAACGATCGTATAATACCTGCTCAGTGCCAGTATTGTAGTAGGCACCAGAGACAGCAAGATAATCAGTCTAGTGGAGTAAACAGACACCCAAATAAAGAATTATAAGAGTATAAAAAATGTCATGATAGAGTATGCCTAAGGTACCATGGGGAGCACCAGCTGTGGAGTCTGGGGTGCAAGCCTGAGCAGACTTTCCGAAGGGAATGATGAGTACGTGGAACTCTGGCCAGGTATTGGTCAGAGAGAACTTCGCTGTTTACAGGGAGGTGGGTGGAGGTGGAGGCAGGTCTAAGGGGGATAAATGGTGCTGGGGGGGGAAAATAAAGAAAAAAAAAGAACTTAGCTGTTTAGGGCTGACTTACTGAGGTTCGTAACTGCAGAAGCTTTGGACGGAGAGATAGGATTTTGACAGGTACATATGGAGCATATGGGAAAAGAGAACCACCTTCCAAAGACATGCTGGAAGCAAGAATTAACCTGAGCAAAAGCCCAGCGGCACGGAAGTTTAGTGTATAAGGAACAGAAGTCCAGCCTGGCTGGAATTCAGGTAAAAGAGATAAAGGTAATAGGAGACAGGACTAGAGAAGGAGGCTGTGATCACCATGAGGAGGACTTTAAATGTCAGGCTGAGGAGTTTGTACTTAATTTGACAGGAAACAGGAAACTCTGTGGGATTCTTAGCAGTAAGCGGCGTATTTAGACTACAGCTCAGATTTAAGAGTACTAGAAGACTTGTTTGCTATAACAAAACCATCAAGGTTCATGCTTTTTGTTGTGCTAACTTCTGATTTTAAAATAAGCTAAAAAGTATAAGATTAGAATTCACAAGTATGGAATAGAAATTTAATAAACTGAACAATGCAGCCAAATTTTAAACTCTTAGCACATTATGAATAGAAGTCCTTTTCAATGACACAGTTAAACTTTGTACCCTTTAAAGAACTTGTATGTTTACTTTACCTAAGACCATAAGCTAGGTTACTAGAATTTTTCCCCTAATTTTGAATAGCTGGTATGTATGTAAATTTCTGTCTATCAGCTCCAAGTTCAACCTACTGCCTTGTGAAGCTAGGGTTCAGCTCTGCAAACCACATTGGGGCTTTGCCAATCGGAAGGGAGGGAGGAGATTTCAGTTGGAGGAGGTAAAAAAGATCTGCTGTTTCCCATGTGCATCACTTCACTGTTTGCTGTTCCTGTAAGCATCACTCCAGACTCGGGGCTGCGACCTAGCACCTGCAGTTCTTTCCTGAAGCAGCTAACAGAATCCAGTGTGCAGTTTTTCCTTTTTCCATCTTTGCAAAACCAGCTTTACTGTGTGTCCCCAGCCCCCCACTCCCAAAAGACAGACCAGTACCAGCCCACCAGTGCCCTATCCCCAGAGATCAGGGTCTATTCTCTGGTGCAGCTCAAACACACCAGCACTAGACGAGCAAAGTCCACTTCCTCAGAGACCTGTTTCACCAGCCCCAGGCCCAGGCCCAGGCCCACCCTCTTCACTAAAGATTTAATAATTACCACCTCTTTCCTTTGTACCCCCCAATCCTAGGAGTTGTGGGTGTTTTGGCAATAGTTAACTCTGATATCTTAGAGTTATGTGTTATGTTCTTGTCTTCTCAACTATCTGGTTAACAACTTTATACCTAGTTAACAATCCTTTATATTAGAGCTCCTCTCTGAAATAACTGGTTAGATTTTCCAGTCAGACCCCAACAAAACCAACTATGGAACAGAAATTCAACAAAAGAACAAGCGATGTTCAAAATTCAAAAATCTTAACTCAGATAATTAGGATAGTAATTCTTTTTACTTGCACAATTAAACACTGTACAAAGAAGTAAGAAAACTTGTATTATGGTTTTTTGAAGAGAGAAAGTTGAAAAAAAAACAGTGGCAATTATTTGAAGATAACTTGCACTTAGTTGTTGGATTATCTTTACCTTCACTGTACATGTATATTATACAGAGCACATACTACGTTTTTTTAATACTGCTTTTAAACTGACTTCTGAAATTTAGTACCTAATGTTGCAGCCAACTGTTTAAAAAGGTGATTGTAGTTTATTGCACCTAAGACACTAAGCTAGGATAGGGTACTGAGTTCTTTTCCTAACTTGGCAAATTTGAAGATGTACAGCATTGGTCATCTGGATCATGTGTTAAAAACAGTGACACCTCTGTTTTCAATTTCAGAGCTAGAAAGAAAACAGTGCCTGTTTTTAACATGGAAAAAAGTATGTGTCAGTTTAGGTAGCTAGGACATTGAGACTAGTTTATAAATACAAATTTCTTGGCATGGAATTACTTATTATAAAGTACATCACTTGCTTGGATACTGGGTTTTATATGAGAAACTTAAGTGTCATTCCTGACTATTGCTGGGAGATTGAAAAAGAAAAATAACAACTCCAATTCTTAGGTGAAACAAATTCCAAGAGAAATTTGTGAATATACTGATGGAGCAGTACCCATAAATGCAAATTTTCCTGCCCAGGAGTCACCTGAAGGTGACCGTTAACAGAATGACATGATTAGCGTCAGCAGCATCTATTCATAAATGTTTATATTCAAAGCAAATCTTAGATGTAATATGCTCAAGCAAGAGTGTAAAATAATGCATTTTTAAAAGGTGAGAGAACTTTAAAGGCAAGGAAACCAAAGTAAAAAATAGCTCAGGTAAGAGATAGCGGTGACACTATATAGTTCACAGTGTGCATACTATAGAATAGTGGTCCAATGGTGTAAAAATGCACCCTACACAAAAGCACCCAACAAAGGGGGCAGAGTGGAGACTGAAATCCAGCCCATGCTTAGCCAAGCCATGTGTACTGTTGCACACATGGGGGGGGGGGCTTTTCTAATCTGTCAGCTGGGATAGGGGGTGGATAGGTATTTTTTTCTATTTCACAAAGACACCTATAGATTTGCTTGGTCCTGGAGGAGGAAAGGGGTGGAGGAAAAGAGTACATTCAAAATTTAACTAGGAGATAAGTGTAAAATGTGGTGACTGGCTACAAAGGGGAAGGAAGACATAAGGAAGCCTTCTAGTTTCTAGCTTATTTACTTACGGCAAGTATTAAAAATAAGTTGGACAGTGTGTTTGAAGTGCTTATAGTTGATCCAAGACGACGATCAGCAGGCCAACTCACTAACTAACCCAGACTCATTAAGATACTGGGTTTAAAATCTAGAGAAGACCATCTAGTTTAAATCTCATTTTGTGGAAGAGAAAACTGAGACCCAGAGATGATATAACTTTTGAGTTAAGTGTGCTTCATCCCTCAGCTGTTTCAAATTTTATCAGATTGTGTTTCTCAAACTACAGTGTGTATCATAATCACCTAAAAGGTTTATTAAAACAAAGATTGCTGAGCCCCTTTCCTAGAGGTTTAGTAGAGGAGATCTGAGGTGAGGCCCAAGAATCTGTATTTCTATCAAGGTTCCAGATGTTACTGACGCTGCTACCAAGGGGTCACATTTTTGAGAACATATTAGACTTAAGAGTCTAGGAGCTACTAAAGGTTTGTGTATCTCAGAAAGATTCCCAGGCCTAAAGTAATGCTGGGTAGGAAGGAGCTGCTTAATGCTTACAGATGAGACAGAGGGTTAGTGAAAAACTTTTACTAATTTCCACTTATGTAAGTATAATAATTAAGACTATTTTAAAATACATTTATATAAAATATATAGTAAGTCTATTAACATTAATGGTAACATCATAGAATATTAAATATAAAAACAGATAAATACATTATATATTTGGGACACCAAATTAACTTCTTTCCTAGCATAATTTAATATTTAGGTGATTGAAACCACTGGAAATTAAGTTCTTTTTAAAGAGACTAAAGGATAAAGGTCACCTTTTGGCTCTCTAAGCAGCAACATGGCGGTGGGCAAGAACAAGGGCCTTAAGAAAGGTAGCAAAAAGGGGGCCAAGAGGAAAGTGGTTGATCTAGTTTCTAAACAAGATTGGTATAATGTAAAAACACCAGCTATGTACAATATAAGAAATACTGGAAAAACACTAGTCACAAGAACTCAAGGAACCAAAATTGCATCTGAAGGTCTCAAGGGTCGTGTTTTTGAAGTGAGCCTAGTAATCTGTAGAATGGTGAAGCTGCATTTAGAAAATTCAACCTAATTAGACAAAAACTGCCTAATTTTCATGGCTTGGATCTTACTCATAACAAAATGTGTTCCATGGTAAAAAAAAAAATATGGCAGGCCATGATTAAAGCTCATGTTGATATCAAGACTACAGATGGTTATTTGCTACATCTATTCTGTTGGTTTTACTAAAAAACGCAACAATCAGATTCAGAACATCAACAGGCCTGCCAAATCCAGAAGATGATGGAAACCTTGACCCAAGAGGTACAAACAAATGACTTGAAAAAAGTGGTCAATAAACTGATTTCACGTAGCACTGGAGAAGACAAAGAAAAGGCTTGCCAATCTATTTACCCACTCCATGATGTCTTTGTTAGAAAAGTCAAAATGCTAAAGAAGCCCAAGTTTGAATTAGGAAAACTCATGGAGGTTTACAGTGAAGGTAGCAGTTCTGGAAAAGCGACTGGGGATGAGACAGGTGCTCAAGCTGAATGAACCAATGGATATAAACCCCACAGTCGAATAATCTGTTTAAAATCCAGACATTTAATGGTGACTATATAAAGAACTTACACAACTCAATACCAGGAAGACACACAATCCAATTTAAAAATGGGCAAAGGACCCGAATAGACACTTCTTCAAAGAGGACATGCAGATGGCCAATAGACATGAAAAAATGCTCAACATCACTAATCATCAGAGAAATGCAAATTAAACCACAATGAGATATCACCTCACACCTGCAAGAATGGCTCCCATGAACAAATCAACAACAAATGCTGGCGAGGATGTTGGGAAAAGGGAACTGATGGGAATGCAGACTGGTGCAGCCACTGTGGAGAACAGTATGGCGTTTCCTCAAAAATTAAAATGGAACTGCTGTTTGACCCAGCGATTCCACTTCTGGGTATATATCCTAAGAATTCCAAAACACCAATTAGACCTCTATGTTCATAGCAGCATTATTTACAATAGCCAAGATCTGGAAACAGCCCAAATGCCCACCAGTATATGAGTGGATAAAAAAGATGTGGTACATTTACACAATGGAACACTACTCGGCTATAAAAAAGAAGAGTCTCTTACCTTTTGCCACAGCAAGAATGGACCTGGAGATTACTATGCTAAGCGATAGAAGCCAGTCAGAGAAAGACAATAATACCATATGATCTCACTTATATACGGAATCTAATGAACAAAATAAACTGATGAACAGGATACAGAGGCATGGACACACAGAACCAACTGAAAGCTGTCAGGGGAGAGGAGAGGGGGACACTGGATGAAAGGTGAAGGAATTAGCCAAAGAATATATATGCACAGCCCATAGGCACAGACAACAGTGTGGTGGTGACTGATGGCCGGGGGCGGGGGAGAAGGGGCACCTGGGTAAGATGGGCAAAGGGGGTGGAGGTAATAGTATCAATGATTAAAAAAAAAGTTAAAAAGAAAAGAATGAAGGTCAAACTCTATAGCATCCTAGCCCCCTGACCACCTTTCCTTTCATTTCCTACAAAATACCTTAGACCTGAGGCATTCCAAACAATTCACAGCCTGAGGTGTAACTAAAAAAGCAGGCTTTGCAGTCAACAGATGTGTTTCAATCCCAGCTATGCCACTTACTGGCATCTACCCATGGTGCTAAATTAGTATGTTGATTCAGTAATTTGTTTCGATAATTTATTGTGACTAAAAGCACAAGTACTATGCCCGTTTACTATATACCATTCTTGTTTTCATATACCCCTATCTAGAATAATCTCAATTCCAATTTCCAATACAGAGACAGGTAACCATTTCCTACTGAATTGCTCTTGACAATCCCTCTTCTCCCATATATCATTAGGCAGTGTTGATCATCCCATTTTGTAACTTTTTAAAAAAATGTTTTTGATTTTAGAGAGGGAGAAGGGAGAGACAGAAACATTGATCAGCTGTCTCCTGCACACCCCCTAATGGGGATTGAGCTCACAACCAGGCATGTGCCTTGACTGGGAATTGAACCCATAACCTCTTGGAGCATAGGAAAACGCTAAATTCACTGAACCATACCAGCCGGGCTGGATCCGATATTTAATATTATGTTAATGAATACTGCATCTACATTCATGAGGGATGTTAATCTGTAATTATCTTTTTTCTGTAAATGTCATTTGGTTTTGGTATCAGGATAATTAATGCTAATCTCGAAAAATAAGTTAGAAAGTATTCCCTACTTTGTTTTCTGAAAGAGTTTGTGTAGAATTAGTACTATTTCTTACTTCAATGTTTGATAAATCCTCTAATGATGTCATCTGGAATTGGAGTTTTCTTTGAGGAAAGGCTTTAAGTTATAAAGTCAACTTTGTTAATATGGGACTATCAAAATTTTTCCATTTCTCCTTGAATCCATTTTGATAGTTTGTATTTTTCAAAGAAGGTTTCTCTTTGATTTAAGTTGTAGAACTTACTGGCACAAGTTTGTTTATATTCTCGTTAGCCATTTAAAATCTGTAGAATCTGTAGTGATAGCTATACTTTCAGTACCTATTGATATGTAGGTCTCTTTTAAAAAAATCAATTTAGCTAGGTTTATAAAATATATAACAGTACCATTTAAGACACTTGTCTGACACACTGTATGAGCTCACAAACTAAATCTAATACTTCTATTTAAAACTTTACAAGGGTAGCCCAGCCAGCGTGGCTCAGCAGTTGAGCATCAACTATGATCCAGGAGATCAACGTTCGAGTCTCGGTCAGGGCACATGCCCAGGTTGCAGGCTCCACCCCCAGTGAAGGGTGTGCAGGAGACAGTCGATCAATGACTCTCTCTCATCACTGATGTTTCTCTCTCCTTCCTTCTCTATTCCTCTCTCTGAAATCAATAAAGATATTAAAAAAAAATTTTTAAAAACACACAAAACTTTACAAGGGTAAAGAATAAAAAAGAGTAGTCACAGTTGATTGAGCATTTAGGAACAATATATATAAACAGTAATACAGTAAAATACCATATTTACCTTTTAAAAAGTCACGAATTTAAAAATTTTGTAACCTATTCCTCCTTACCTATATTCTGCTTCTCAGGAAAAAAGGAGCAATGTGTGATGCTAGTCGGTGACACAGCACGAGAAGGTCAATCAATTTGCTAATGTTAATACACATCTTGATATAATATGAAAGTAAAATGCAGAGAGATTCTGATATGGGGCCTTCATGTCATTCAGCTCATTCCTGCCTTCCAGTCAAGTTCTCAAATGACAAAAATCTTTATTTCGTTTAAAAATTTGGAGGATGTTCTAGTGTCTTATTTACAAGTTACCATTTTAACCAAAATACCAAGTTTATGATAAATTGATTGACAGCCCAGTGTTTCAGAAGTATTAATAAAGGAGAGTGTGAGAGTGTCAACTGTGTGACGAAGTCTGTGCTGCTCTATATCCTGATTCACTAGCAAAGGGAAAAAAGTACACAGACATGCTTCACCTTATCATAATTTCTCAAATATACTACTCATCCTTGCTCTCAAGCATAAAGTTCCCAAATAATTGCTAATTTATCTTTTTGAAAAGAATTTTGTATTTATTTATTTTAGAGAAAGAGGGAGAGAAAGTGGGAAGGGGGGAGAGGGAGAGAGACAGACAGACAGACATAGACATCAATTTGGTGTTCCACTTATTTATGCCTTTATTGATGACTTCTTCTATATGCCCTGAATGGGGATTGAACCTGCAATCTTGATGTATTGAGACAAAGCTCTAACCAACTAAGCTACCTGGTCAGGGCCTAAGTAAAGATGCATGCCTGAGAGGGAAGTAAGGCGTGGTGCTCCAGAGAGAGCCCACTGCTAATTTCTCAAATATATATTTTTTAGATGATTTGTTTCCATTTAACCCATTATGCAAAAACACCATTTTCACGTCCTATCAGCAACATTTCCATGTGAATTAAACAGAGTAACAGTTATTTGAGATTAATCCTTAAACACTTGCCTCAAAAAATGTAATATATACTTTACACATGAAAATTAAATATCATGAATTTTAAAGCTCTACCATTAAATCCTTGTAACTTTCAAAACATGGTCTTCCCAAAACAAATGTTCCAAAACTTCTGATAAAGAAGTCTAGGACTACATGGTACCCAAAACGTTAAAAGGGAGATAGGAGAGAGAGAAGTACAGGAGAGGGGGAGGGGATCTCTCACTGTATTTACAATTGTACTTTCCAGGCTGTTCTTCCTGGCTACTCAGAATTGTCTTTTGGGATGCTTTAAAATGATGTGTTCAGGCTGTAGATAACCCAAACCTACCAAACTAGAATCTTTGGGGGGCAAAGAACCAGATACATACAGTTTAAAAAGCTCCTCTAGTAATTAAAATGCATGGCCAGCCAGGTTGAGAACTATGAAACAGGCAGGCTACTATTTAGGTTAAGAAAACCTACCTTGATCTGCTGTCTCCGTAGCATGGCAAGTTCTCTCATGTCTCGAAACGGCTGCAGTAAGTACTGATAGAGCTCAGTTGTGGCTTCTGCAAGGCTGCTGTAGGCTTCGTCTTCCATCTGATACAAGTCCAGGAGCTCCACCATGCTCTCTGTATTCTTGTGCTTATCCAAGAGCTGTGGAGCAAGAAAGTTTTACCACAAAGAAATCCGAGTAACAGCCTATAAATACTTGCTGTTTGCTCCCTATCAAGAGGACCTGGGAGCCCTGAAACACAGAAGCAAGAGGAAACGAAAAGCAGATTGCTTTTCATCACTCATATCTATGCCTCAGGTGTCTTATCATTCAAGATCGCCTCCTGAGTTATCCTCTTCAAGCTGCTTTCACCGTATAATTCCTGTTCTCTGTATTTTCTAGGACTCCATACTATTTATTTGCCTAGTTAACTCTTTAAAAGTATTTTCCATGATCTTGTACCTTTCTCCATATTGATTTTTAAAAATTTTTATTACTAATCTACAAAGTATGTATCAACTCTTGCTAATATTATTTTACTAATTTCCCCAAATCTTCTTGCCACTCCTTTCCTCCTCCCAATTTGGAACTCAATTTAACTTTCTTCCAACTCATGCCTACTGCTTCCTTCAAAATCTAGGTTAAAATAAATAAATAAAACCTAAACTCTAAAATGAGCTTAAGACTGACTATAACAGATGTGTATAACTCTTACTTTGCATTCCTTGCTACTCACATATGTATCTATGCATGTATGTGTATTTATATATATATATTCTTTCACTCATTCCTCAATAAATATGGACTGAGCATCTAACACGTTAGGCAGTGGGCTAGGAGCTGGGCATACAAAATCATGGTCCCTCTCCTCATGGAGTTTACGGTATAGCTCCATTTAAAAACATCACAAACAGTAATAAATGTTTTGAAGATTATTTTATGTTTTAAAGTATAAAAGTGACACAATGAAACAAAGGGCCCCATAAAAAAGAACAGGAGGTGGAGAGATGATGTTACATAAACTGCAACCTACTTTAGAGAATCGGTAGAGAGAAAAGACTCTCTAAGGAAGCTTAAGCTGAAATTTAAAGGATGTCTAAAAGAACATGTAGCAAAAAAATATTTTACATATTTATTCTTAGTGTCCATTTACTTGGTGACAGTGTCATCTCCCAGGCACACAAAATTCTGCTGTTCTTTCTCATACCAAAGCTTTCACTACTATCTTCCTTCCCCAACTTCTTGCTTTAGTTATCACATTTTGTTAAACACATTATGCTGAATTTATATTTTGAATTCACTTCCCCCCCAAGGTTCTTGGACTAAAGTGAAGAAGCACCTGGGACATTTAGTATTCTGCCTCCTGTATCAGTAATAATCATAGTAAATCAGATAATCTACATTAAAGTGCTTTTATAACAAAACTACCTCATAAATATTAGTTATCATTCTACTGTTTCAAGGCTATAATTCCAACTTTCATGGCTAATTCGGAGAATTTCCACTTCTAGCATCTTCTGAGTAGTACCTATTAGACAAACTAACTCTCTGACAATAACTATAAAACCTGGGCAAAATATTATAAAACAGCTACCTGAGCCCTGGCCGGTGTTGCTCAATGGTTAGAGTGTTGGCCCACACACTGAAGGGTCGCAGGCTTGATTCCCAGTCAAGAGCTTTGAACCTGGGTTGCAGGTTCAATCCCCAGGCCTGGTAGGGTGGGGCACATGCAGGAGGCAACCAATAAATGTTTCTCTCTCCCCCTCTCTCCCCTACTCCCTTCCTTTCCACTTCTCTAAAATAAAAAATAAAAATCAATGGAAAAAATATACTCAGGTGAGAACAAAAACAAAACAACAGCAACTTTTAAAAAACACCCAACTACCTGAAGGCACTGGAGAGTGGCCAAAAGTAAGTAAAACTTGGAGCAGGCATCAATACTTCGAAGAAAGGAAAGCCATAAATGAGTTTTAATTTAAGGCTTCTAGCCTAGGGGCAGGCCCCAGTGGCTGCCAAAGGAAGAAAGGAACAGTGTGGCTAAACACAGATAGAAACCTATAGTCTTGGTGGCATGAAGAGTCAGAGAACAGAGTTCAGAACAGTCATGGCAGCTACAAAGTAAGGGGAAAATACTGAAACGGACAAAGCCAAAGGAGGAAATCCCAAATATGTATATAAGTAAATTAAAACCTCAGGTTGATTACTGAAACTAGAATGAAGAGGACAGACTCTAAGCACTGCAACTAAGCATAAAAACTTAGTATTTTAGCTGCTGCCTTCTGCAAGGAAGACAGAGTTTGCAGTTTTGAACTAATTACATTAACTGTGCTAAAACAAAATTGTATAAATCAACATTGGAGGAATCTAACGCCACCCAGAGGCTCTACAAGGTGTCACTTACAATGTCTAGAAAACAATCCACATGAGCATACCTACAGAGGAATGGGAAAACCAAACTCAGTACTCAAAGGCGTTCGACAGGGACTGACTGCAAGATGAAGCAGATCTGGACCCAGCAAAGGTTTTAAAGCAGTTAGTATAATGACACTAGTGGGCACTAAGGAAATATGCTCACAAAGAACAAACATACAGAAAAATCTCAAAAGAGAAAAAGAAACTTTTTTTAAAAAAAAAAAGCACATTCTAGAACTCAAAAATATAATATCAGAAGTAAAAAATATGCTTGATGGATATAAAGTATAGTAGTAAAGACAAAAGACTCAGTGAACTTGAAGATAGACTAAGAGAAAGTATCCAATCTGAAAAAGAACAAGACATGAACAAGGCCTCAGGGATCCCTGGGAAAATACTAAAAGGTCTGAGATATACTTAATAAATTAGTTGGAGGTCCAGGAGAGGAGAAAATGGAACACACACACAAAAAATTTCATGAAGTAATGGCCCCAAAAACCCAATTTTGGTGAAAGACATCTATTTACATGTTCATGATCTAAGAATCCCAAGCAGTAACCCAAAACTAGATCACAGTCAAACTGGTGAAAATCAAAGATGAACGAGAAAATCTTAAAAACAGCCAGAGAAAAAACACCACATAAAGAGGAATAAGCATACATATGAATGCTGACTTCAAGTCAGAAATGAAGGAGAACAGACCGCAGTAGTGTGACGTATTTAGCTGAAATAAAGGAAAAAACGCTGATTTTCCTGCTAATCCCTATTGTTTTATAAGGTGGTCAGACCAATGTCTTTCCGCTTTATTAACAAGTGGTTTTTGTTTTTTAATTTTTCATTTGATTTTAGAGAGAGAGGAAGGGAAAGGGAGAGAGACACACACACATTGATTTATTGTTCAACTTATTTATACACATTCATTGGTTGAATCTTGTATGTGCCCTGACCAGAAATCAAACCCGCAACCTTGGCTATCGGGACATGCTCTAACTTACCGGGCTACCTGGCCAGGGCTTAACAAGTGGTTTTTGGCTGTTGGTTTTGGTTTGTTTTTACTTTATTTAAAAAAATATTTTTAGAGAGAGAGGAAGGTAAGGGAGGAGGGAGAGAGAGAAAGAGAGAGAGAGAGAAACACTGATGAGCTGCCTTCTGCCTGCACCCTGACTGGGAATCAAACTGTGACCTTTTGGTACATGGAATGACACTCAACCAACTGAGCCACACTAGGCAGGGGCTGGTTTTAATAGAGGTCTACTAGAACAAAAAGAATCAATTCAAACATAGGTGATTTTAACTGATAATACAGAAATGATTTACAGATGTGGACAGAGTCCAGGCCGCGTGGGATTTTGCTGTATGCTGAAGGCAAAGAGATGTTAATAAAGGTTTTCTGTTTTGTTTTTCTTTCAAAGATGTCTCTGGTTCCAGGAAAACATCAGGGAATACTTTCCCAATTGAAACAGAATTTGGTAAAAGAATGGATTTGGGATAGAGGGAATTAAGGATGACTATTAGGTTTCTGGCATTCACTAAGACAAAGACGACAAGAATAGACAGGTTTTTAGAGTTAAAGATTATAGATTCAGAGACACTGTCCAAGTTGCTCTTGAGATATCCAATAGGAGAGGTCATGTAGGGGATGCAAAACGTCTAAGATCAACCTTATCTTTAAGAAGTCTACAATTTAACTAGGGAAACAAAGCAACAGACATAAAAGTAAATAAATGATTGTAAATAATGGTAAAAGCTTAGAGAAAAAAATGGATCAGAGTAAGTTTAAGGCAGTTGAAAAGGTGTTCTAGAACTAGGATCTGAGTTGGGTCTTAAAGGATGGGAAGTACTAAACAGGTGAAGAGAGCAGCCCAGACTCAAGAAATCACATGAATACAGCATGAGAAATCTGGGTGGGAGGAAGGGGGTGGCAAAGTGTTATCATGCCCCTTGAAGTAGAGGGTACACACTAGAGAGACCGGGCACCGCAATGATCTAGAAATGCAGCACGTTCTAATAAGCGGTGAAACCATCTATGGAGCAGAAAAAAAGATTAATGCATGTGGTCAATCCGCCCCATTTAATTTATAGCTCACAGAGTTTAACTTACTAAGTAACCATATCAAAGTGATGGTTATTTAGTACCTGGTTACTCAAAGTATGGTCTGGGACCAGCAACACCAGCATCATGTGGGAACTTGTTAGAAATATAGAACCTCAGGGCCGACTCCAGACCCACAGAATCAGAATCTGAATTTTAATAAGATCGCGATAAAGTATGCATGTCCAGGTTTGAGAAGCATTCCTTCAGTGCTGCTTCAGTGCTTAAATACCTTAATATGCCTTTAACTATAATGTGAGGAAGTCTCTGTAAAGTGATATAAACTATGTGTTCAATTTTCAAATACATGCAGCTATGGTATGTAAATTTTTCTTGAATCTAAAATAATTTTTCCACTTACTTTCTCTCACTATATTTACTATTATTTTATATTAGATCAATGAGCACTATTTAATTAAAATTAAGCCAAAATTCCCATTTCTCATGGTTTAGTTCTCTATTGAAGCATTTCTACCTATTTTAAGAAAGTCCAATCACAGGAGGACCTCCGTCTTTAGAAGATAGGTACAGCCTGGTCTAACATCCAAGCACTGGCCAGGACCTCATCTCTAGTACATGGGACATTCAATGAAGTTGGATGTTTAAAGGCAACAGCCATTAAAATCACCAAATTAACTCTCTTCATTCTGATGGCAT